GGGCTCTCTATTCTATTCCATTGATCTATTGTCTGTTTGTATGCCAATACCATGCTGTTTTGATGATTATAGCTTTGTATTATAGTTTGAAGTCATGGAATGTGACATCTTCAGATTTGTCCCTTTTTCTCAAGATTATTTTGGCTATTCAGGGTCTTTTGTGGTTCCATACAAATTTTAGAAATATTTTTTCTAGTTCTGTGAAAAATGTCATTGAAATTTTGATTGAATTTGCATTGTATCTATAGATTGTTTTAGATAGTATGGCTATTTTAACAATATTCTTGAAATTCATGAGTTTGGATTATCTTTCCATTTATTTGTGTCATCTTAAATTTCATCAATGTCTTACAGTTTTCAGTGTATAAGCCTTTCACCTCTTTGATTAAATTTATCCCTAGGCATTTTATTCTTTTTGGTGCTATTATAAATAAGGTTGTTTTATTAACTTTTTCTTTCTGCTAGTTCATTATTAACGTGGAGAAATGGAACAGATTTTGTCTATTGATTTTGTGTCCTATAGCTTTACTAAAATTGATTAGTTTTAACATTTTTGGTGGAGACTTTAGGGTTTCCTACATATGGTATCAAGTCATCTTCAAAGAGTGACAATTTTACTTCTTCCTTATGAATTTGGGAGTCTTTTATTTCTTATTCTTATCTGATTATTTTGGCTAGGATTTTGAATAATATGTTGAGGGAAAGTGGTAAGAGTGGGCATCCATGTCTTATTACTAGTCTTAGAGGAAAAGCTTTCAGCTTTTAATCATTGAGTATGTTTACTGTGGGTTTTTCATATATGAACTTTATTATATTGATGTATGTTTCATCTATACCCATTTTGTGAAGGGTTTTATGATAAGTTTTGAATTTTATCAAATGCTTTTTGTGTATTATTGGAGATGATCTTGATTTTTATTAATGAAATGTGTCCCATAGATATTGAATTTTTTTTAATTTTTTTCAATGTTTTTATTTATTTTGGAGACAGAGAGAGACAGAGCATGAGCAGGAGAGAGACAGGGAGACACAGAATCTGAAGCAGGCTCCAGGCTCTGAGCTGTCAGCACAGAGCCTGACACGGGGCTTGAACTCACGGACTGTGAGATCATGACCTGAGCTGAAGTTAGTCGCTCAACCAACTGAGCCACCCAGGCACCCTGATATTGAATTTTTATATTTACATTTAATAATATCAATGTATTTTTTTTAATTTATACTTTTCTTTCTTCATTAATTCACTGACTGTTCTTTAGGATGTTGTTTAATATCTACATATTTGTGATTTTTCCAGTTGTGTTTTTGCAATTGAGAAAATTTGAATTTCATATCATGGTGTCAAAGAGTTTATTGATATGATTTCATTCTTCTTAAACTGATTAAAACTTGTTTTGTGGCCTAACATGTGATCCATCTTAAAGAATGTTCCGTGTTCATGTAAGAAGAATGTATATCTCATGCTATTGGATAGAATGTTTGTATATATCTGTTAGGTCCATCTGGTATAATATGCTGTTTAGCACTGTTTTATTGATTGATTGATTGATTGATTGTCTGGATGATTTATCCATCTATGTAAGTAGGGTTATTAAAGTCCCCTACTATTAATGTATGGCTGTCAATGTCTCCCTTTAAGGTTTTTAATATTTGCTTTATATATTTAGGTGTTCCTTATTGGTGCAGAAATATTTACAAATGTTATACCCTCTTGTTGGACTGACTTTATATAACAGCCATTTATTTATTTATGTATTTATTTATTATTTTTTGTCTTCTATTACAGTTTTTGTTTTGAAGTCTATTTTGACTGATCTAAGTATAGTTACACCAACTTTCCTTTTGTTTCCATTTGCATAGAGTACCTTTTTCCATCCCTTCATTTTTAGTCTGTTTTTCCTTAGGTCTGTTTTTAATCTCTTGTGGGTAGCATGCAGTTGTATTGTTTTCTCATCCTTTTAGCACTCTTTGGAGAATTTATTACATTAACACTTAAAGTAATTAAGTATGTACTTATTGTAACGTGATTAATTGTTTTCTGGATGTTTTTATAGTTCCTCTTTGTTACTTTCTTCTCTTGCTCTCTTCCATTGTAGTTTGGTGACTCTCATGTCTTGTTTACATTCCTTACTCTTTGCCTTAATGTATCTAATATAGGTTTTTGCTTTGTGGTTACCATGAGGTTCACATATAACAAGCTATATATATATATAAAAGAACCTATACATATATATGTGTGGGTGTGTATATATATGAATCTTTTTGGGGTTGATAGAAACTTAGAATGCATTTTAATCCTCTGCATTTTTACTCCCCCCTACCAACACATTTTATGTTTTTGATATCACAGTTTACATTTTCAAATTTTGTACCTCCCTTAACTAATTACTATAGTTATAGTTAATTTTATTACTTTTGTCTTTTAACTTTCATACTACCTTTATAAATGGTTAATTCACTACCTTTACTAAATATTCACCTTTATCAGCGATAGTTTTACTTTCATATGTTTTCTTGTTATTCATTAAGTGACCTCTCTTTTCTGCCTCAAGAAGTCCCTTTAACATTTCTTATAATGCCAGTTTAATGGTGAACTCCTTTAGCTTTTGGCTGTCTGGAAAATTCTTTATCTCTCTATCAATTCTGAATGTAAGCCTTTCTGGGTAGATTATTCTTATTTGAAAGCTTTTTCCCTTCAGCACTTTGAATATATCATACTATTTCCTTCTGGCCTGCAATGTTTTTGCTAAAAAATCAACTGATAGTCACATGGGGATTGCCTTATATATAACAAAGTGTTTCTCTCTTGCTGCTTTAAGATTCTCTCTTAATCTTTAACTTCTGACATTTTACTTATAATGTGTTTGGTGTTGGTCCCTTTGGATTTATATTCTTTGGAACCCTCTGTGCTTCCAGGGCCTGGATATCTCTTTCCTTTCCCAAGATAGGTAAATTTTCTGACATTATTTCTTCAAATTCAATTTCTGCCTGTTTCTCCCTCTCTTTTCCTTCTGGGCCCCCTGTAATGCAAATATTATTCTGCTTGATGTTGTCCCATAGGTCTCTTAAGCTATCTTTACTTTTTTTTTTCATTTTGTTGCACTTTTGATGTGAGTTCCACTGCCCCATCTTTCAGATTATTGATCCATTCTTGTCCTTCTTCTAGTCTACTGTTGAATTCCTCTGATATAATCTTTCAGCTCAGTTATTGTATTCTTTTGCTCTGTGACCTCTTTTTGGTACCTACTTATATGTTTTATGCCTTTGTTGAAGTTTTTACTGTGTTAATTCATTCTTCTTTACCTTTATAAATTTGGTGAGCATCACAATTACTTTGAACTCTTTATCATGTACATTATTTATCTCTGTTTCATTAAGGTCTTTTTCTGAGGTTTCATCCTGTTCTTTTGTTTCAAACATATTCCTCTGTTTCCCCATTTTGTTTCAACCTTTGTGTTTGTTTCTATATATCATGTGAAATAGTGACTTCTCTCAGCACTGAAGCAGTGGCTTTGTGTAGGAGTTCAACTTTGCCCTTGCTTTGGTTGTGTCTTGAACCTTTGTGATTGTCTAAGTAACCTGATTTTGTTGTTGTTTTTGGACTATTTATTCTTGGTAGGTTCCAATTTTTGAGGATGTGCCAAGACACATCCTCAGTGTATCAAAAGAGAGTGATCTCAGTCAGCACCTAGTTTCAGCTGATTGGAAGCCAAATCCTTAGGCAGCAGCTTTTAATGTATGTACATATACATAATCCTGTGGGACCACAATTGGTCCCTAGCTGACTCCTAGCTGACTTCCACACTAGGAAATCGGGAGGTGTCCCTTGGTTTACAGTTGCAATATTTGGAGTTCAGATGAGTGTATAAGCTCCTTTCTGGAGGCACCTGTAAGCTTGGGTGAGGCCAAAAGATGCAAATCCCAGGGCTTTTAGTGAAGCTATGAAAGAGTGGTTGGGGACAGGGTATATCTGCAGTTTTCACATTGTTGGAGAAGAGTGCTTTGGTGGGCACACCCTTGGCTTTAGTGAGGCTGTGTTTGCCCACACCCCCCTGTGCTAGCAAGCTAGAGAGAGAGAATAAATATGGTATTATCAGCACCTCCATCCCCAGAGAACATATCAACTTGTCCCTGCACCTCTGGCAGATGTCTTAAGATTAGCAAATAAATCTCCTTCACTTATCACCCAGCACTTCTTATCTCTCTAATGTAGATCCTAGCTGTTGAGGTGCCTGATATGGAGCACAAACTCCTTACTCCTTAGGGTGAATCTCTGGATTCAAGAAATTTCCTCCCTATTGTGTGGGTTGGATATTGGGAAGACTGCATCTCTGCCTCTCCTACCTCTTGTGATATGGTCCTTTAATCCATTTTTGTGGAGACAACTGTTTCCCTAGTTCTCAGTTCTTTTTCAGTGGGAATTATTCCACATATACCTACAGATTTGGTGTCCATGAGAGAAAGTGAATTCAGGGTCTTCCTATACCGCCATCTTGGAACCCCCGCCTTTTGACGAATGGGAAAATATCTTAACAAAAGAAAGTTTATTGGTTTTTTTTTATTATTTCTATGAGATAGAGTTATTACCTTTAATTACATTTTCCTATATTTAGCAACTCAAGTGATTTCTTTCTTTAAATATCTTCATGTTTATAATTTCAACTGTTAACACACCAATTCTTTTTGGTACTTTCTTGGGGCTTATATTGGATAGGATGAGAAATGATTATATGGTCCCAGGCTGGGTAGAAAAAAAATGACATAAAGGAGAAAGATAATCTTTGAAAATATTTCTATAAAAATGTGGTTTATTGTCTTTGATTCTGTTTACTTTTCAGAGATCCAAAATTATCCTGACAAAATATTTGGTCTCTTTACATTAAAAAATAATTAAAATTCTATTAATCAAATACTTATTTAAAAATATCTCATATTTTTTATGAAACTCCAGAAATCTGAAAATACAAATAGAACAATCTTATCTTTCTTATTAATTTTAACAGCAATTCCTGAGTTTGTAACACAAGTGAATGTTGCCTTGGAAGCCTTAAGTAAAAACTCTTTGGATGTATTTGATGATGATCAATTTGTGGACATCTCAAAGAAGATCTATGATACAATCCACGATATCAGATGTTCAGTCATGATGATTCGGGTAAGTTTGCTTTGCTTCCCATTGAATTATTGTAATGCCCTTCACCATCTGGAATGCTTGGAATGATTGCAAGAAATATTTTATCTCTATTTCATAATGTCAATGCTGAAATCCATTAGAACTTTAGAAATTCGTATGTATCCCTGAAGTCAAATCTACTGTCACAAACAACACTTTCACTATGTATTTGGTTATAACTTATGCAAATGAGCACATTTAACTGCTGTGTGTGCAGAAATGATAGGATTCCTTGTGTGCAGAATTCACTGAGGTGTCACATAGCATGATCAGGAGCCAAGGAAAAATACATAAAATAATTTGCTTTCTTTTCTTGAATGGAAAGGAAAGGATCTTTCTCATTACTGTGTTAAAATTGGTAGGAAAATGTGTCTGTTTACAACAGGTTGTTTCTATGGTCAAACCCTCTCATACTAGATTATAGATTCAGAATATTCTGTAAGAAATCTCACTTGGTAAAAAAAAAAAAAAAAAAAAAAAAAAAAAAAAGAAATCTCACTTGGAGCTGCCAGGAACAATAAACACATGAACTGTCCCAATCTAGGAGTTGTCTGTTTGGGGAAATATATGCCATCTTCTTAAGGGCAAAATGAGTCATTTATTGTGGGCATACTGCATACACAGAGGCCAGGATTATTTATTTGGTTTTACTCAAATATTAATGTGGACTATTTTTTAAATTTTTATTTAAAAAAAACAGTGGAGGTTTTCTGGAAAATGCAAATGTAAAGATACGGGGGTATTTTATCTTAGGATGGATTCACATGGAGGCAGACCATGAGGTAAGGATTTGTGTTACTATTAGTCTATTTAGGAGAAAGTAAGACAGAAAAAAATAAGGCAGGGAGGGGAAGTAAACCAGCAAGATGTAATTATGCATCACTACTGGCAACTAGGGCTCGATATTGCTGGGAACTCTGGGTGATAGTATTGAATACACCTCAGAATTATCTTACCCGAGGTGAACGAAACCCAATTTATCTACCTATTCATCCTTGGTTAAAGGCTACCTCTCCTCAGAGGTGTTACTAAAACCTCCAGCATGGGTCAGTCAAGCTCTTGTGCCCCCAAAAAGCAACCCTTAGGCAGTGTGGCAGGTGCTTGCACAAAAAGGAGTCAGTAGGGATGGTGAGTGTAATTTGTTAAGTATTAATATAATTTAATTTGAAAGCCTCTAGATTTAACTGTTATTGAAACTATAAATGTAGAATAGAAGTGCTGAAGAGATACAGGCAGAGCACCAACAGTATCTGGCAAGTCTGAATGTCATAGTTAGGTTACACTGAGCAGTCTGTAAAAGTGGAGTTGTTTGGGAATCTTTTAAGGGAAACGGCCTACAGAAGTTGAAGACACTGGCAGGGCAGATGGATGCTTATGAAAGAAATTCTAAGAGAAAAGCAGAGGTGTCAAGATATAGGATCCAGCACGTCAGAGCATGGCAAAACCTGAAAGCGAGCCAATCATACATATAAAAGAGAAAGCCAGGAAGTATTTGTTTATATGTGATCATGAACCGTGGTATTGTGCCAGTACTATGTCTAAGCTGCAAAGTACCTTTATCAAATATTTTCTTCCAAAAAGGATTTTAAATCTTTCCCATGTAGACTAGTGGGCTGGTGGACTGGTAATAATCCAAAGGGGGGAAGATGGGTAGAACCAGAAAAGAAACGTTGAGTGAAGACACATGAGTTTCAGGCAATGGTCTTTCCAGAGTGAAACACCTGCATTTTCAGTATCCTTGGGTGGATATGTGAGAAGTTTAAACCAATGAAATAGCATAGGTGAACCAGCGTAGGAAATACATTTTTTTCCCCTGAAAAAACTATCTACGGATGAAAAAAGTCTTGTAATTTCTCCCATTCGTATGTTTTAGTATTTAATAATTTCCTTCTTATCAAAATAGCTTACTTATAGCAAGTCAAAGTATCTTGCTATTATTTCTATATATCCCTCATACGGACCAAGCAGTCCTCTCTTGGGCAAGAGAGCAATTTATTGGAATTATTTAACAGCCTTAGAGGGCTGTAAATTTTCCCTATAGTCATCTCTTTTTCAAGGTACATACTTCAATTTATTTTAATTTTTCCTCACAGGAATAATTCAGTATTTTGTGTTCTTTACTAGTCCTTATTTAACTTTTCAACAAACTTCTCAAATGAGACTATCAAAAAGCATACTCTAATTAGGGCCTGTCCAAAATCAAATGAAGTGGAAGACTTGTTTGTATGTTATTGCTAATAATACAGCCAACTGCTGTGAACTTACTTTTCTTCTCTTAAATATCATGATTATTGGATAGACAATAATTTCCTTTTATTTTTATTTTTTACCCTGTTATTGCCTACATATTCCTTCTCTGTTTTGATTTGATATGTTTTCTCAGGTCATAAATCTCATACCAGATTTAAACTTTATTACATTTCTAAATGATTTTTCATATAATTTATCAGTTTGCTTTTAAATTTGGTTGTGACTGTACCTAATTAGCCTCAGTTAGAAACATGAGATTGTAATCCAAATTCCTTCATCTAGATTACTAATAAAAATATTGGATTATATTGGACATTCATCTGACTGCAATCTCTAGTAGCTAGCTCCAGTTAAGGATCTTAGTGTTAAGAGACCTTAGAATCTGATGTTCCATCCAACTAAGAACATATTGGCAAGTGTGTGGTTTGTAAGGATGTTTTCTGAATTTTGAGGTAGATATATTCTTCCTTCAAACACACATTATGGACGACTAAAATAAAACAGATAAAAAACAGAGCTGCTGTTCTTGAAACCACGAAGGAGAGTCCAGAGGCTCAGCATCTCTGGGCTTGCGTGTCCAGTTTCTTAGGTAATTTCTAGGGAAACTTCTACAGAACTACAAGGATTCCTTGGAGGATGATCCATAAACCTCTGTACTTAACTGCTAATTGGATTATAGATTGAAAGTAGAAGTCTAACTCAGGTGCAATTAATAAAATCTATAATATTTTTTTTCCTTTGAAGACTATCCCTTTGTCATAGAAGATAATAAAATTGGTCTGGTGTAATCTTCTCTTAATAAGGTCAAATTTAATGCTGACCAATATCCTGACCTTAGAACTACAAAGCATTTGATGTTTTCTTCAAAGTAACTAAAGAATGTCAACATTAAGGCAAGTTCAAGGAGGACTAGGCTCTGGTCCTGTGAGTGTTACAGACTACTGTCCTATGTCGGAATTTCCAGAGTGCTTTCAGTGCCCTTCAAGCTGTTTATTAATAAAATACTAAAAACAAAACAAAGAAAACAAAAAACAAAATGCTAAAAAATTTCAGTGCTTGAAATTTTATGTGGTTTTATAAAAAAATATGATTATATCTGTCTGTAACTTTTTGGGGGGTGAATAAATGTGTTAGCAAGTGTTCAGAATATTTTTAAAAATTCTAAGAGAAAATGCTGTGACATTTAATATTGCTATCTCCACTGGATTCAGTTTGTGGACAAATAAATTTATGGAATCTCATTCTTAACAACCTCAGAGAATAGGGAATATTAAATATGTTTCTTTGAGGTTTAATATCTATGTATAAGTTTTATAGTTATTAAGAGTTCATATGATAAGATTAAAGCAAGTCACAAATCTCTCTAACCCTCAGTTTTCTTCCTTTGTAAAATAAACTGTATTAAATCTACTTCAAAATATTATTATGCTGACAAAATGAGCTAATAGAAATGAAGTACTCAGTAAACAGTAGTGTCTTATAAAAAAAATAGTTCCTATTGCTATTACCATTGTGAATAATGCTAGTACTACTGAAGCTACTTATTACTTATTTTATTTTTTTAATTTTTTTTACATTTTATTCATTTTTGAGACAGAGAGAGAGAGAGAGAGAGAGAGAGAGAGAGCACAAGTGGAGAAGAGGCAGAGAGAGAGAGGGAGACACAGAATCCAAAGCAGGCTCCAGGCTCTGAGCTGTCAGCACAGAGCCCGACGCGGGGCTTGAACTCACAAACTGTGAGATCATGACCTGAGCTGAAGTCAGATGCTTAACTGACTGAGCCTTCCAGGCGCCCCAATTATTTTTTTATATGTTGAAGAATGTTATCTATAGAAGTTATAGAAATGTGCCCATGGGCCAACTTGAAGCCAAAGCCCAAAAGTACCTTAAAAGGTAAAGTTCTAAACAAATAATTATGTTTTTATTCAAGATACTGTTTTACATAAGAGGAGACTTATTGTGTATGTGAATTATAGATTATTTAATGCAAAGTGTGCTTTTGAGCCTATATGATTTTAAGCTGGCATTATAATTCTATATATTGTTTTTATTAACTTCTTGAAATGTGCAAGAAGGACTCTTGATGGTTCATCTTTTAGGGAAATGTGCTTAACCAGAAATAGATAAAAATCTTAAAGGACAAGATAATTAAATTGTGAGAAACATGGGTGGCTAGTAGTGAAATACCATCAAAAAGAGGAAAAGATTCAGCAAAAATTCAGCCTTTGAACAGGTATGCAGAATGTGGGCTTCACATATTTTGTTTGTGAATTTTCGTATGTGACTTATCAAAAGCACGTAGGAAATACAGAGACGCTTTCCAAACCAAATGTGAAGATTTTCAGGACCACCACTAAGTTTAGATTTTCTGTGTTAGTTGTCTAACTTCATATTTCAGAGAATAAGAACAAATTTTGGAGATATCACTTGATTAAAGTTTATTTTTTGAAGAAACAAAGGAAAATAAAGTAAATCAAAAAAACATTTATGTGGCCCAGTTTACATGAACCAGTTTTACATGAATAATTTACATGGCTTCTAAAATTGGAACACAGTTCAATATATAACTTCAGTTTATATAGCCAGAAAACCCCCTTTTTTTTCTGATTCTACTGTACCCTCAGGAATGGATAGATGGCTTTCATTGGAATTATATACAATTTTCTTAATTTAACTTACTTGCACTGTCATGATTTACTTGAATGTCTTCTATTGCTCTGCATAACTTCTTT